TCAGTGGTTGTTATATATTCACAGAGTTGTACAGTTATCACCACTACCTAATTCCAGAACATTTTCATCACCCCAAAAAGAAACCCCATACCCATTAGGAGTTGCCCTTCATTCCCCGCTTCCACTGCCCCTGGCAACCCTAATCTTTCTGTCTATGGATGTGCCTGCTCTGGACATTTCATATGAATAGAGTCACATAATCTGTGGTCTTTTCACTTGGCGTGTTTTCAAGGTTCATCCACATGCATTAGTTATATCATGCATTAGTACTTCATTCCTTTTTCTGTGACTGAATAATATTCCATCGTATGGATATACCACATTGTTTAACCATTCATTAGTTGGTGGACATTTGGGTTGTTTCCACTTTCGGGCTATTATGAATAATGTTACAAGGACCTGAATTCTGCCAACAACTACCTGAATACGTTTGAAAGAGGATCCAGAGTTCCAGATCACAACTCAGCCCTGTCTATCACCTTGATTTCAGCCTGTGAGACCCTGAGCAAAGAATCCCGTCTGGATTTCTAACCTAAAGAACTGTGAGATAATATGTTGTTTTAAGACACCAAGTTTTTGGCAATTTGTTACACAGCACTAGAAAACTAATACACAGATCATTGACTGACTAAAAGCTATTAGAGATAAAGTCATTGATGTGACACTACGTAGAGGAGCAGTTCTCAAAATGTGATCCAGGGGTCCCTTGGAGCCCTCAAGACCTTTTCAGAGGTCCATGAGGTCAAAACTATTTTCATAATAATAGTAATAGTATGTTATTTGCCTTTTCCCTCTTATTCTCTCATGATTGTACAGTCATTTTCCAGATGCTGCATGTTTGATATCACTGCTCTAACAGCTAATGGAATATGTCCTGGTGTTTCTTGTGTTAAAAATTTATCTAAAAACAAAAAAAGGAAAAAAATTTTTTTCAAAGGAAGAAACAAAAATAAATAAAAATTTCTCTAATTTTGAATGTGGTAAATATTAACAAATATAGCTTATATACACAAAAGCTTGCTGGGGTCTTCACTAATTGTTGAGTGTAATGAGTTCCTGAGACCAAAAAGTTTGAGAAGCACTGGTCTAGATGAAGTATAACTAAAGCAGGGCTAGACAAAGTCTTAAAATGTAAGAATATATTTAGTTAATGCCTGTGTTTTGTCCAGAACTGTGTAGCACTAAGAATGAAACAGGGATACAAAACAAGAATGAGGTATAATCACTGACCTAAGACAAACATAAAGAAATAATTAGCAAAATCATTCATTTGTTCCTTCTAAGGTGTTTCTAAGTACAAGGCACTGCAATATGTAACTCAGTGTTAACCTTTGGTATGGGTGGCTATGTCAGAGGTGTTTAGAGAAGGAGTTGCTCAAATTGGGCTGTGGGAGACAAGGAGGACTTTGTGGGGGAGGTGAAATCTAAGTTGGAAAGTGAAGTAGGAGGATGACAAATATTTAAGGCATTATCCTTCAGAACTCAGCTAAAATGTCCCCTTTCTTACAGAGGCCTTTCCTGATATCCCTATCTCGAGCACCTACCACCTTATATTCCATCATAACACTGTTCCTTTCCTCTCTAGCACTTAACAAAAACAAAAAACCATAATATAGCCATTAGGGTAAGTCTGGCTGGAGCTAGAGTGCATTACTTCAAATGCCAACTCTGTTGCTTTCTAGTTATATAATCTCTGTGCCTAGGTTCCTCAATAAAATATGCTAATCAGACAGGGAATTTACGTTGAAGAGCTGGTGTAGGTTGTGACTATGGGACTGAAAGGAAGGGGTAACTATGAAGTAGGTCAAAGGCAGAATCACCTGCTGAATTCAGATGACAACGGAGAGAAACAGTAAAGGCACTTCCAAGGACAGAAGAGAGAATAGGAAGAAAAGACAAGCGAAAATTCTGGGGATATTTGGGGGGAAAAAAGGCAACCAGTGATATGTAGATAAGAAAGAGTGAAGAAACAAAAATGATTCCAAAGTTTGTTGCTTGAGGAATACGACAGAGGTTAACATCAGTTAACTACTCTGGAGGAAAAAGGAGGAGCTACGTCAAATCCATGTTTAAGATGAGTTGGCAACAAAAACATAATTGTAGATAATTTGTTTTTAGACTGCTTAGAGTGATGGGTGCTAAGAGAAGAACCTTCAGAGCAAATAAGATTTTGGTGTCTGCTCATCAAACGTCAGAGCTGAAATCATGGGAAGAAACCTCATAAGGCCCCAAACGCTGACCTGTATGGAGAAGGGCAATCTTTAACACTCATGATGACATTCTTATCATTGATAGAAAGTGCTTAATATGTTGCTTTCAGACTCCTTTTGGGGGATGGGGATTTTCAGAAAAAATAAAGCACCAATTCCACCAAAGGAACTGCATAGTAAGGATGTGTGTTTCCCAGTTTTAACCTTCCATATATCTTTGGAAGGTAAAATAAGCAATGTGTTTCAAGCTGCTTTTATAAGGGGAAGCTTGGGCCATCTCCCTTCTATCAAGGACCTCTTGCTATTCAGTTCAAAATTATACAACATTCTTCTTGTTGACATGGTTTCATAGCACTCTTCGTTCCAGGCTAAAGCTTCCTGTCATGATTTGGGCGTCCTATCTGAAAGTTAGACCTTCTGACCTGGCAAGTTGCTGAGACCTTTCAGGATAGCTGAACTGTAGATAAAAATCTTCCAGGGAAGTAGGTGTGGGCAGGATGTGTGGTTTCCCCGCTTCTCATTTGGAGACTGATTCAGCTAATTTTTCATGAACAGTCTCCTACAGTAAAAGATGCATTCCAGAGTGTTTTAAGAGAAATTGGAAAGGACAAGGTACTTACTGATCTTCGGTTTCTCACTAGAGCACTACTTTTCTGAATGCCACAGAAATGCAAAGCAGGGCAACTGTGCCCTCTATTATGAGTATAATCTCAAGTCAGCCTCCTCTGCTAGTGGGACCTTGAGGACTCAAATTAGCCATAACAATAACACACAGCAGAGCATGTACTTGTTTACCAAATAATCTGGAACTGAGCAGGAAGACTCCATAACATGTGCCTCTGCTTGGCTCTGAATGTGTGACAGCAGCCTGAACCTGGGGAAGATATTTCTAAACTTTAAGTGATATAACACACACAGATTCTTTCTCTGACATTCCAGGCTAACCACTGTCTAAGTTAAGAATCTGCAAAACATCTGGGACTATGTTTCTAGAAAAAATTATGGCATATTTTCTACAACTCTGGCCTGAGCATTGTAAGCTCTGGCCTGACAGGAGCCTCTGCAGCAGGATTAGCTGTGCGGGCCCAGAGAAGCTGCTCTGTAGCACAGACAGGCATTAACTGAACTGAATGAAGCCCACTTTCCCTCAACAACTATTTACTTAGCAACACTTAGGAACAAGGCACAGAGCAGGGAAAGATTTGAACATGAATAAATTGCTGCTCTGTAGCACAGACAGGCATTAACTGAACTGAATGAAGCCCACTTTCCCTCAACAACCATTTACTTAGCAACACTTAGGAACAAGGCACAGAGCAGGGAAAGATTTGAACATGAATAAATTCAGATGTTGCTGTCCCTGACAAAATTACTTTCTCTCTAGAAAAGTAGAGGCTTATTTCACCTCAGCTCTGGTTGAACTGTACTAATACACTGTCTGATACTCCATGTCTACAGGTCAGTGGAAAACAGAGCCAGTGCCTGAGATTTGAGGATTCAAATCCAAGTACAATGAACTACCATTTGGCTGCCCCATGGCCACTGAATCCACATGGCCACATGCCCATGAAACTGGCCCTGCTCTCAAGCCGGGCTGTCTGGATTTGACTCTTGGCTTTGCCACTTCCTAGTCATGTGATCTTGGACAAGTCATTTATAAAATAGGGATACAGTAGTTTCCCCCTTATCCACTGGAGATATGTTCCAAGATCCCCAGTGGATGCCTGAAACCATGAAAAGTTCCTAATCCTATGTTTTTTCCTATATGAGTAGATACATACCTATGATAAAGTTTAATTTACCAATTAGGCATAGTAAGAGATTAACAACAATAGTAACAAAATAGAACAATTATTAACAATATACTGTAATAAAAGTTATGTGAAAGTGGTTTCTCTCTGTCAAAATATCTTATAGTACTGTACGCACCCTTTTTCATCTTGTGATCTGTTGATCTGATAATTGAGACAGCTACTAAATGCCTAATGTGGTGGGGGTGGGTAGCTTAAATGGTGTGGATATGCCAGACAAAGGGATAATTCATGTCCTGGTTGAGATTTCATCATGCTACTCAGAATGGCGCACAATTTAAAACATAAATTGCTGATTTCTGGAATTTTCTAGTTAATGTTTTCAAATCTTGGTTGATCATAGGTAACTGAAACCAAGGAAAAGCAATACTGCAGATAAGAGGGCTAACGTAATAGTAGTCCCTACCTAATCATTTTAGGATTAAATGAGATAATATTTGAAAAGTGCTTATAAGAATACCTGGCAGATAGCAAGCACCATATAAATATTTAGTAAATACATACTCTAGGAAGCCTAAACATCTCAAAATGCCAGAGATAACTATAGTCATGACATTGTGAATTTACTAAAATATTATTTTTTTAATGTTTTGAGAGATTGGATTCTTAATAAATAGAATCATGTTTTTATTACTAAGACAGTGGTCACCTTTTATTTTAACGATTAAACAAGAGATTTTAAAAGATTTTCTGGATTGAGGTCCACTACTCAATAAAGCAAGACTGAAGAACAGAAGACGACACTGGTTTGTGCTCAAGGTTCTGGAAGCCTGTGAAGTGCAAATTGTCATGAAGCCAATTTAATATAACTACTTCCTTTACGCTGGACGGATTCACAGGGGACCTTACTGCTTGCATACAGGAAATAAAGCCTGTTTGTATCTGAACAAGAACTACGAAATACCTTTCTTTTTCTTTTCTTTTTACAATGCAGAATATTGAAGAAAAAAAAAATAAGCTGTAGAACAGGAAATGTTACTAATTATACAAACTCTATATTTAGTTCTAAGAAAAAAATACTACTAAGACAGTCAGAAGATAACTTACACATAGTGATATTTACACTTTCATCTAGAAAATAAATTTGGTGTACTGAGGCATAAATACTTAATGGTTATTATTATTAATGTTTAATTTATAACAGAAGACTCGGTTTCTCCACTGAGTTATTTGCACATTTTTTACTCCTGGTCATCAATAATTCTCAGGACTTTCAGAAGTCTTTACAATAAACACAAAGGTTTTTTTTTTTTTTTCAATTATAGTAAATATTATACAGAAGTATACAAAATTATAAAGAAGTAATTTGTCAATGTTAAACAATTCTCCCGAGGTACACAGATTTAGGGTACTTCTCCTTAAGAGCTGGCCACTGAACAATAAAGTAATCTGAGAGATGAAACAGAATCTTTCCGGACAAGGATAAAGTTTCCACGCGGCAGATGCTTTCAACGTAGACAATGATCACCTTCTTTATTCCTAGTATCCCAAGGAGAAGGGCCGATACAACGATAGGAACACATGTTCCTGGTCCATTACACAACACCTTAAAAAAAAAAGAAAGTTGAAGGTCAAATTAAAATACAGAATACTAATCTAAAGGAGGCATTTTGCATTAAGAACAGTCTGATCTTAGAGATTTGTTTATTATTCTAATGAGTCCTTCCTTGTCAAGAACCAGGATACAGCAAACAGCAAATATTTAAGCCCATGCACTTAGGAGCCAGGCAGGGCTGTGTTGTCTTGGTTCTCCAGCTTACCAACTGTGTGACTTGGGGCAAATAACTCAACTTCTAACTTCTAATGCGGTGCCCAGTGTTAAGTCAGTACTCATTGGACGGGCATGTGTTGCTCTCCGACTACTTTGTGGATTTTGAATGTCACACAAATATATAAAAAATAGATAAAACCAACTAAGATCCATTCAGTTTTCTTTCATGTACCAACTTGTTATTGATGAAGGAGAAAATGTCTTTAACTGATTAATTATGAAGAATATTTTTGTGGGATGTGGAATCACTTTAGGGGTTCAATCCAACAAATGGGATATTCAAGATAAGATCACCACATGAATGAGATTGTCCCATGAGAGGTTTTAGTCTACACTTGTAATGCATAAGAGTTTTAATGCTTTGGAATTCTGCTAATTTTTATAGAAAGCACTGGTTAGAAACAATTTAGTTGACTAACCTAACAAGAGAAGTAAAAATTCAACTCATAGAACAACTGCAAAGAATTTTTAAGTCCTTTAAGAAAATGAGAGAAACCTATTTCACAGAATTGTTGGTAAGGTAACTTATTACTATTTTCAGAGGAAAAAGCATTTTATACAACATCTTAATCATATGCTCATGTTGACTGAATTAGTAAAACCTAATAAAGCACTTTATTCCACAAACCATAAAACATGAAGTTTGTGGTTATCTACACATGCCTATTGGGCATGATCTACAATATTATATGACCTTACCAGTTCAAGGTCCACAAAACTTAACAGACACCAGACAATCTTAGAGTTGGAAGGGTCCCAGATATATGGTCAAACCATTTGTGACTTCAGGGACTCTCCCTAACAGACAGACATCCTGCCTCCATGTGAACATGATTAGGGCTGCATGGGTTTGATAATGGTCATCGGGTCTAGGCTCCATCTTTCCTGGAGATGTAATCACATGGAACACCATTCACAGATCTTTGGGAAGAGAGAGGGTAGTCTGTTTCAGGTGGGACCCACCTTTCTTATGTCTTCCTTGAAGCTCTCTATCTACAATCCAAACCCACTTTCTGTCTTTTATGGAAAACTTTCATTCAGACTTTCTTTTTGAATTACCAGAGACTAAGCTGCTCTCCATACTGGTCATCTTTAATTTCCGTTAAGTTCCCCAATAACCTTTCCTCATAGTTTCTTAAGGCAGTGTAATTGAAAGAAAATGGGACTGACAGTCAGGAGAACAGTGTTAGACAAGCTGCAAACTAGCTCTGTGACTCTGGGAAGTAGCAGTAATGATAATCACCACCTCAGCCCTCACCACCATCATTTATTAACAACTCACTACAGGCAGGTACTATGCTAAACATTTTACATGTATTATATTTTAGTTAATCCTCACAGCAATCGTTTGAGGCAAGTTTACTGTTCCTATTTGTAGATGAGGAAACTGAAGCACAGAGTTTGGGCAAGTTGCCTGATAATATGTTTAGGAAGTTAAGGAGTTATTTTGCTTCAAGTCACTTTTTTCCTATGTGACTCAGATCCCTTCTCTAGAAAATGGGGAGACTGGACTGTCAGCTCCAGGATTCTATAATTTTATGATGCTAATTTGCCTCTAGTTTTTGTCATAAGATGAAATTACAAACTTTCTCTGAATCCTTTCAGGGTTTAGAATCCTTAAAATCCTACTAATGTAAGGCACTATTGATGTTTTGGACTGGATAACTTTTAGTTGTGGGGATCTGTCCTGTGCATCATAGGATGTTTAGCAGCATCCCTGTCCTTTAACCGTAAGATTCCAGTAGTCGACTATCAAGAATGACTCCAAACATTGCCAGATGTCTCCAGTTGACAACCACTGTGTTAATGTACTCCCTAATCCTTGGATTATTTATTTGTGTCGCTTTTCTCAACATTCTTCTCAATAGTACAGAACAAAATAAAAACAAAATAAAAAATAATGCAAGGATTGCTTGTTGGATTTTGAATGTCAAAACAATATTTTCACATTTGTTGTCTTTAAAAAAATGTACACATCGACGTGTTCATTTCAACATCTGGTGGACACTCCATATAAAAGTTAAGTGTCCACCGATAGAGGTGTCTGTATATGGGAGGGGAAAAGACTGGCCACTGATGGGAGATGCATTAACAACCTGCCAGAGATCAGAAGTAGAGAGACTGTGAAGGTAAAATGGAAATTAAAGGTATTTTGTTTGTTTATCTCTGTTGTATCTCTATATTTTGAGGCACCTTACTACAAAGGTCCCAGGTACAATAAAACCACAAAACCATAAACCAAGGATTATTTAAAAAAAAAACAAAAACACAACAAACCTAATCCGAAGGAACACCTAGGCTAAAGAAAGCTACTTTTAATTAGGCACAGGTTATAACTCAGTTTTGTAGCAGCATAGGCAAAAATTATTTTAAAAAAGTTTGGATTATGGAGTTTTCATTATTCAAGGAAGTGTACCAGAGAGACTTATTCTAAGCACTGAACAAAAAACAGAATTCACTGAGACAGTCTGGGTAAACATGATGTTATAGCTCTTATTCTAAGCACTGAACAAAAAACAGAATTCACTGAGACAGTCTGGGTAAACATGATGTTATAGCTCCAATATAAAGGTTGGAGCTATCTTACCCTGCACCTGGAACAAAGGAGGCATTCACTAAATTTTGCTGAAAGGCAGAAGGAAGGAAAGGAAGGAACAAGGGGGTAGGGGATAAGTGAATCCTTCTTTGCCCATCCCACTGGGAGTCAAATTTGCCAGATTTGACCTTTTGTAACTCTACCATACACACTTATCACAAACACTTGTGTGGCTGGCTGTCATAGTGGCTGTACCTGACTTTCTTTCTTCTTATCATTCCACATCCGTTCATCTTTATCTCAGGGGGACCACTGTATCCCTCACTCTCAATTTAAGTGCTTGAGTAGAGCTAACTCCACACCTAGCTGTAAGTAGAGGACATACGACTCCAGACTGACCAATCGGAACACTGAATTCTTCTGTGAAGGTCATGGTTCAGGAAGAGCACATAATTCAGTCAGAAACCACAAGACTTAGTGGGACACTTGTTGAAGGTGCTGAGAAAACAGCACCTTCTCTACTATTCTGGAACCTAGCAAGATGTGGACCTGGCACGGTTAACACCTATCTTGCCACCACACAGAGAGCTTGAGAATGAAGCCATCACAAAACAGAGCTGAGAGATGAAGACAGGCCAGGTCCGCAAAGCAGGATTTAAGATCCAGCTATGCCTGAAGGAAACCAGATCTATTCTCACACTTGCCAGGTATGTGAGAGAATACATTCCATCTTTGCCTAAGCCATTTTCAATCAGGATTTCTGTCACTGGCAGTAAAAAGCACACTAATTGACATAGTCCTTTATTTTGTCTAACTCCCTGATGGGTATTTGACCATCCCCACTGCCAACAAGTAGGTGTTCAATGTGTGTCTGTTGGATGAATTTACTAATCAACAAATAATCTCCAAGAGCAGGAAGTCCAAGGGATGTGCTAAAGATTATATAAATTATAGTTCTAGAAAATGGAAAGACACAGGGCTAATACAAATACTAAGTCATGAGGGTAGATGAACCAGGTCAAGGGCTAAGAATAATTACAACAGGATTGTTTTTCTGTAGATCTGGGTTATCACAGGTCAAGTCTCGTTGGCTGAAATATAACATCAGTATGTGTGAAAAGATACATGAGGTTACTTCAAATAGTTCTTGGAAAAACAGAATTAAAAGATAATATGAATCTTTCTATGAACTTTTGAAGTACCCTCATATTTAACTTGAGTAGTCTGAACTCTACTCCTAACCCAGTAGGATCTCCCCCCCCCCACAAATATGCACCAAGATCTTTGGGGTCCTGGGTTGGTTTGTAGATCAGAGACCACGAAGTTGAGGGTGATCCAAGAGAGAACACATGACGGTAAGATTGAAAGCCAGATGGAGACTCCCTAAGGCTTCCATCTTAAGAGACTGCACAGAGAAGGAAAATCCAACTCTGAGACTCTGGTCTGAAAACCAGGCTTTCTGACAGCCTCTTGCTGATGGAGTTGTAGGCTGGAGAGAGGACATGAACTGCAGAAACAGAGCTGAAGGTAAGGTATTATTGAGCTCCTTGGGCCATGGACGAAGCTGGAGAACTACAGCCCATTGTCAAAGCTGAGTGGGCAGCCTATATGGAAGTCACGGGTTCTGTCAAAATCAACACTTCATTTATAGAATATTGGCTCCACTATGTAGATAGGTATATGAGGGATATAAGGAAGGGAGCAAACTCTGACATGTACAAATAGTTAGGAGACACAGGAAGAAGAGAAGCTTGTAAGGCTTACCAGACAGCCAAGTCAAGTAAGGTGCTTTAAGAATGTTTAGAGAAGTAAGAGGAAAACCACAGGGTTACTTGCCTATCCCTAAAAATGAGTCAAAGATGATGAAATGATCAATAATGTTTCTCAAAGCCTGCCAAGCTACAAAGATAGAGATAGAGAAAAGATCTTCATATGTGGCCAAGAGAAGAGTAATGGAAATCTCGGAGATGGCTATTTTAATGAATCATCGGGCTAAAATACAGGGCAGGGCAAAAGTAAGCACACTGTGGGAGAGGGAAGCTCAGGAAGGAGCTGGACAAGCTAATCAAGGCTGAGTAAAGGGTTTAGAGAATGGAATGAAGGCTCTTTATGTGACCATAAAGATCAGTGGGAACAAACTGAGGTGGAAGGAACTGATTACAGAAAAGGGTGAGTACTTTTGACACCAGGAAGAAAGAGTAAGAATTCAAAGTATTTGATTCATGAGGTTGGTTTGGGA